CTTCAAAGTTTCACACATTTTTTACATATCTTAGACCAGCTTTTAATAGAAATTCTTTCACGGGCATTTCTGTCCTTTTTCATAATTAAATAATACGCCCGTGGCAACCAGCACAATTTCTCCCATTAAACGCTAACACTATGAAAGTTTTCAGCTAATTTTTAATTCCAGCAGCAAAACACTATTAAAGAGGCAAGAGACCAGTGGCACACAGTAACAGGCAGCCGTCTTGTTTGGGAATTGGGTCAGACTGGATACTTCATATGACTAACTAGGCCGGCAGCAGGATAAAACAAATCATCTACCTTCTTATTCAATTACTGCCTAGAAGCATGTGTCAGAAGTGTGAAGAAAATTTGCCACTAAAGGGATATATAATAACATAGGTAACATCCTGCTATTATTGTGTATTATTGGAACTCCTCCGATACACTTATTTTAAAAGGATTCCTAAGATTTTTACTCCATTTACAGCAAAATAATGTGTACTATACATTTTCAGGAAGACGATAGTGAAATGATTAGTTTGGCTTCTATCTCCTTTCTTTTGCATCTGTCTGCAACCTTCTGAACTAAGGGAGGAAGGCTAAAACAGACTTATTCTCAGCTGTCTCTCTATTTTATTAACCATCTCTACCTCACAAGTCCTTTGCATGGTAAATATTACCTCCAGTTTCATTCCCTCCAGTTTTCCTTTCCTGGAAATGGGCACACATACACACTGGATATGGTAGGTATTTCACAGGGGGTTCTGAGGTGTGGCCAGGCTTCATAAATGCATGAATTCGGAATGTTTGAATTCTAAAATGTCTAAATTTCATCTGTCAGATCAAAGATCTAACAACTGGTTAAAAATTCCAAACAGCTAGTAATGTATTATTCACTAGTCTTCCATGTGACCCACCTTTCCTTCAGTTTTCTGATTCAGTTTCCGTGCAGATGATCCCTCAGGAAGCAGGAGCAATGACTGCACAGCAGCCTGAAGCCATCAGATGCTTACCTAATGCTGGCACACAGAATCCAGCTCAGTGTGTTGACACGGGGATGACAAAACAGCATCAGTTCCAATAGCTGACTCACAGCTGGCTTTAGGCACAGTACAAAATTTATTGTTTGGAAAAGGCTGGATCAGAGCTGCCTGCTCCATGACACACGCTTGTCAAACCTCCTGGGAGGGCACACCTGGAGATGAAGGTCATCTCGGTAACACCTCCTACCACCAACCACGTGGTTTGCATTAGCGGTATCAAAGACAGTGTCCTTATGACAATGGCAGGAGAATGTCACACTTTGTCACCTGCAGATCAAGATAATAACCGATAGTTCAAGCTGCTATACCACAGATTGGAGTGGTATATTTGCCCTGGAGCAGAAATGGAAGATATCTAAACACTGAAGGCTACAGCCTGCAAAACCTGCAACGCTGATCAAGGCACACTGGAAAGTTGTGGAGACAGTGCAGGGGATGCAGTGCCACGAGTGACAACTGCAGAAGGCATCAAATGGCAATTTCTACTTTGTTATGGTGAGGTCGCCACCACAGGAGGCATTGCATTTATTCACTAAACAGATGTAGATGTTGCAAAGCAAGGTTTCACTCCTCTTGAAAACAGCTCACAAGTTTCATCCCTGCTTCTTGCATATGGCCTCTCTAAAAAACAAATTATTCTGCTTTGGCATCTGTTCAACTACCCTCTCCACCCAGTTGCCAGAAAATGAGTAAGTTAAGGAGTTAATCACCTCTCCTGAGTGTAGCACAAGCCAAGCCTTGTTTTAGGAAAGCAATTCCACAGTCTCCAACCAGTGAGAACTTCTGGCCACGGGCAGACAGCAGCTATTAGACTTGTGCCTGAGGAACCTCCACAGTCCCTAATGGACACAAGCCTCCTCAGAGGCAGATTGGCAGGATACAGACCTCACACTGCTCTCATCCCTCTCCCAGGATCCATTATCCATTTTTATCCACTAAATTCAGGATAAAGCTTATTCTCTTTCTTTGTCTTGCCTTCAGTGCAAGGTGCTTCCCTTCCCCTATAAGGCTAGGTCTTCTATCGTATGTCTGTTTCCAGAAATAATCTCCATTTAATTTTCTCCCTGCCTCAAGTCCCAAGGGACCACAGTGCAATGTTGTGCAACCCTTGCCAAGCACAGGCTCAGCTATATCCTCTGTCCACTCATGCTGCAGTTCAGACCCAAGATCAAAATGCTCTTCCTTCCCATGGCACAAGTGTTCTCTGCCAACACGTGCCCTTCATTACCTCCCTTCTCCCTACCTACTGACAACCATCACTGCACATACTGCTTTTGCCAAGTGTTTGACTAGTCCAAAGGAGACACAGAAAGTCTGTACAAAACCCCACTCCCAAAATAGACTCAATCCTTGTGTTTGCTCTCCCTTCCACCAGACTGCCTGCTGGCAAAAATTCACATCCCCATTCACTGGTATGTTTTCTTTGGCTGCTGGAGTCTTGGGAACATCTCAACAGCTGGATTTTGTGCAAACCTATGTTCATATGATCTCATTATGTTCTCATATATGGCCATTTCCAAGATGAATGTGCTGAAGAATGCTTTCTCCGATGGCAATCAGTTACTGGCTAAATTTACCAGAAGAGGACAAATAGGTTTGCAGGTGTCATTCTCTTTCTGCTGCTCTCAAACCTTCTGTCATGCACTGGAAACATCTACTTTGCATTTTAACAATTTTTGTCACATACACTGTATTTTTCATATTTCATGTTGCCAGTTAAAAGCTCTTGGATTTCAGCTTCATTCTGAGTATTTATGAATAATAAAAGTCATCTTAGGCACTTACCCAATGCTGACAAAAGTCCTTTGGGCAGGTAGTTCCACTGAAAACCACATTCTTACTTGGCTCAAGTATTCCTCCTGGCTGCATTTCCCTGCACGAGAAAACTTCTCTCACACTACAGAAACAACCTCTGGAGCATGATACTAAAAAAAACCTTTCATTACTTTGACGTGTTTAATTCTCCATGCCTATCAGACCAGCACCTCACTATGTTAAAACAAAGAGTTCCTTGGAAAAATAAGAAGCAATTGCCTTGGAAGAACTGACCTGTCCCAGGAGCCTGAGAACGTTTTGGGAGGAACCTCAAGGAAGTGTGCTGTAAAAGGGTGAGTGACCTCAACAGAGGTGGTCTGGAACAGAAATGTCATTATTTTTATAGTGTGTTGAGGAGAAAACTGAGTCAGTGACCATTCATTGCTTTTTAATAGTGTGGTGTAGGGTATGACAGAAAACACACAGCACAGCACGCAGGACCTCTGAAGAGGCTTCCTTGGAAATGCAGGGAATGCGACAGGATCCTCTGAAAGTACAAGACTCGTGGCCCAGCAGGTGGGCATCCCAAATGTGAGGAAATCACCAGGATAGCATTTGTGTCCCTTCTGTTTGCTTTGCTTTTATCCCTCTAGGACCCGTGGAACAGACACCATCACAGACCTTGTGCAGACCAACTCTGATTTTGAAAAATCTCAGTCCACCACACCGGACACATATTCAGACACAAAGTAAAACAGAAAGTGGACATACTGTTATTTATTCCACTTCCTCTCTAAAGGCCAATTCATAAGAAAATTAAAATTAATGCATTTTTTTTCCAGCAGCAATAATTAAATTGATTCTCAAAACAAAAATCGGTAAAAATGGCAGTAGCCTTACCTGATGATTTAAGGCAGAACACACAGAAATACATTATAGCTTTGGCTGTCATAAAGTCAAATTTATTTTATTCATAAAAAAAGGTATTTTACTACAGTGCACCAGAGCTGAGGTGAAAATACACAAAGAGGCTGTACTATGCACTGTTTTGCCCATGTCCCAAAGAACTTATCAGCTAAAGCCTAATCACAGCATCTTTATTACTGTTCCTTTACCTTGTAATTTGGCAAGTCAGAAGTCACTGCACTTTCAACTCTGGGGGGCCCTGGTTTTCTTTGGATGCTGTCGGTTCTTGCTGACACTTTCTGGGAAACTCCTCCAAGTCAGGATCACCACCCACACATATAAAACTAATATTCTCCTTTAACTCAAAGCTTAACCTTGGAATTGAGCCATTCAGACCTGAATGGGAGCAAGTACAAGATATTTTACACTTTATCAGCTACCCCACTATTTCCTCTGAGACTCTGAGCTCTCCTTTTGTGCCACCAAACTACTGTGTGTTCTCCTCCTGGTTTTCACTACATGGCAAAAATGAGCATAAACACACAGAGAAATAAAAACAGTTTGAGAGGACATTTCCTAGGATTATGTATCATCTTCTACTATTAGCTATAGCCCAGTATTATGACAGACTCCTCTCCCACTGCTACTGGACCAGGTACCCAGCGCTGAAGGAGCCGCCAGGAAGCAAAATTTCCCAGGTTCCCATTAACCTCCTGAGCTGAAGCATTCTTGGGAGTCTCTTTCGAGTGTTGGTGCTTAGCACCAGCTAAGCATTTTTCTCATTAAAACAAATGCAAACAAATTAAAACTTTTTTTTTTTTGCACACAGTGTTATCATGCCTAACCCATCTCAAACACCTTCTGAACTGAAGAGAGCTCCGAGGGCTCCGCTACGGCACTTTCCAAAGACGGGGCGCAGCTCCCACCTCCCACAAAGCAACCTTAGTCCTGCAAAATTTTCACCTGTCAAAAAAAAAACATTGGCTATGGTTTAAAAATGAGTAAATAATTTGAAAACTCTGCGCAGAAACACAGCACTGAAAATCCTGTGTTTTCCAGTGTTCCTGCTTTCCCCGCCCTAGATGAAATCCTACAGGGACTGCAGAAACACCAGCACCCCCTTCCTCCTCTCTCGCTTCCTTTCCTGCCCCCCTTGCTGCATCCACAGCACTTGGAGCTCCTCAGCACATTCCTCTTGCGCTCCGCGTAAATAAATACAAGGGTTAAAGCTGGGGGGGAGCCTGGACTGCAGCCAGCTTGCCCGGGTAACTGGACTTTCTGCGGAGCTCAAAGGGTGTTTTTTTTTTAAAGGAGGAAAGAAAAAGAGAACAGCTTAAGAATCTTGGCTCAGCCTGGGAATATTTCCTCCCAGCTCTCTGGCTAAACCTCAGCACAAGGGGCTGGACGGTCGATGTAGAGCCGAGGAAGCAGCTGCAGGGCTCTCCAGCAGGACTACGACAGAGCCTGGGGCGTTTGAGACCATGCTTCTCGTGTGGACACTGGCTTTTGCTTTAGTCCTGCAGGAGCAGGAGATCCTAGGTAAGTGATGCCAAGCTCGTAAAGCAGAGAAGGGTGGGAGCCTTTGCACGGGGTGGGAGGGGGAGGTAAAGAACTGCTTCTTTGATAGATTTGATCCAAAGATGACAGAGGTGTGTGTCAAAATGCTGTGGGAATGTTGTTTCTATAAGGAAAAAATCCCTTTGGGGATCTAAACTGTCTATCCTGGGGGCATGCTGCTTGCTTAGAGAATTTTCACTACTCATAGGAGATGCTATCAGCGGATTTGCAAAAACCTAAAACCACATTCATATGCTGCACTCCGTGCCCTGCATTCCCACAGTACTGTCACTAGCGGGTTTAATAAGACACACACATCCTCAGAATTGAGAACAATGTTCAGGGTGAATATAGAGAGGTTTCCCCATATTCAAACATTCAAACTCCTCCACACTTTTCCTTTTTTTTTTTTTTTTTTTTTTTTTTTTTTAAGATTTCCTCATAACAACACTGTATTTTCTCTTCTAGATTACTTTTTTTCCAAGATGTTTCAGGAACATAACTCTCCATTCAAATCCCTTGGCAGCAAGCTGCATCAACACACACTGTCTGATAAGCTGGTATCTGAATTTTACTCCTGTTAACAAAGGATCTAGCGCTAGACTAACCTGTGATCATGCTGTTGCTGCTGCTGGTGTGATGGAAAGCTATGTTCAGTTTGGCTAGTCTAGGGTTTATAGTCCCCAAGCAATCACAAACCTGCCTTCGCAGCCTGTTTGCATTACGCATGTTCTGCTGGCTGAGGCTGAATATTATTTTCCCTCTGCTCTCCCTTCTGCACAACACGTAATGCTTACACCTCATGGCAGGGTGGCAAATTTCCATTACAACCAAATCATTCCCTGAAAAACTACCAGCTTTTTCTGTTCCCCGGGTTCTACCACTCATCTTTCTCCATCTCTGTCCTGCACAACCAGCTTTAGAACCAGTGATCAACTGAAACAGCAACCCTAGCACTGGTACTCTAACTTGTTTTCACTCTACACTCACTATCTGCCTGTGAATTTTCCAATGCACAAAGAATGCTGGAAGAACATTTTTGTCATTAGTCCCCAGAAGTATGGTTTTAAGCTGAAGTCATTAAATTCAGGTGAAATCTAACCAAATAAAATACTCTTCAAGCAACAACTAGGCTGGGGACCAGTACCCAGTATTGTGCTGGGTGGTAGCTGCTCTGTTACAGAATCACTTTCTCTGTCACATCGGAGTATTTGACATAAACTGGGAAGCTTCAAGGGAGGTAAAGAAATGAGCCCCAACTTCCACCATTCCCTGTCCCAGTGAGAAGGGCATTTCCTTGGAAGGTGGGTATCCATGGTCAGATCCTTTCTCTAAGGCAAGCAGAGGGATCATCTGAGCTTGTTTCTGTTCCAGCTAGCAGAGTATCCTGGCTGGCTGGCACTGGCATCCCCCCTTTGCTAATTTTGAGGAGGAGAATCTAATTTTTTGATTTTATTATGAATCCTCCCTACTCCCATTCCTTCAGTGACTCATTCATGGTCTTTTCCTGTTTTTCTATTTGGCAATAATTCCTCTTGAATAAAAATGCTTTGGTATTGGCCAAAGAAGAACTTGTTTTCAGTCAGCCATTAATAGCAGCGGCCTTAGATTCCCAGAGCTCAGCCCTCAGACAGCTCCACATGGCTGAGATGCTGGAATGGGAGCCCTTGGGGATGCACTCACATCACCCTGCTTAAGGGCTGCACTTTTTAATTATTTGCTCTTGTTGGCAGGTTAGTTTGTGGGGTGCTGCTGCAGAAGCACGGTGTAAAATGCAGCGTAAGCTCCAGCCTGGGGGACTGGAACATTCAAAACCTGCCCCGTTTAAACAGTTTTCTGCATTTACCAAATACTCCAGGTACATGTTTACACGGCCACAGCACCCATGCAGCAGAGTCAGTGTTTATGTTTCTGCAGGGCATAGAAGGGAGCGGAGTCCTGGCAGCCCAGGCCTCTGACCCACTGCCTTGGATGGATAAAACCAAACATCGAGTGGGGAGAGAGCAAAGCAGGGCCCAAAGGGGTGTGCTGCTGCTGCTCAGTACTGTCCTTAAGAGAGTGTGACTTGCTTTTAAGCAGCGGTTTCATTTGGTTTCAATTACAAGGAAAAGTAAACCAAGTGTAAGCTAATGTTTTTGCTTCCTCCAGCTAACATATTACGCCTGTTCAGAGTATTCTGGATCCCCCGATACTCACATGCAATGTCCAAAGCTGGGGAGCTCTGTACGGCTGTGGAATGAAAGGGGCTCTTATAAAGGACATGGTTAACCAGCTGGAGGTCAGAGCACTGTCTAGAAATTGGAGAGAAAAAAAATCCCTTCAGAACTGCCTGGTTTTGCCCAAAGCTGATCTTGCACTCTCATAGGACTGTGTTTTGCCTCCAGGAGATCTGCAAAAGCCCACGATCCATTATACTTAGTTTAAGGGAATTTAGTTATTAAGCTATGAGGACTTTGTAACCTCCACATATAAAACAAAAGTTAATATCAAACCTTCAAAAAGTCAGGGGTCCGGAAATTGTAAGATTCCTGCTCTTCATGTGCTCCAGCTGTATTTATACACCCAAGTGATCTATTCTGGTCTAAGCAGTCGTGGGTGTCAGCGGCGATGCTGGGATCTAGTTCAGATCCCTATTTTACTTCCTGAGCAGTTGCAGTACACGTGAGCTGCCTGCTGAGGAAAGTATCCCTTAAAGAACTAAATTCTGGGACAATATCACAAGCACCTTCTTTCACTGTGCTGTCACGTTGCTTCCTATTGCCATAACTTATATACACAAATTAGACCACAGGGCTGACTAGCCAGGCACAGAGTCACCTCACAAGGCCACCCAACCAACCCAAACCACCCCACAGTGATGGTCACCCCTATTGCTAAACGCAGGCCAAAACACATGTCCTCATAAACCTAGAAAGTCCTTTATCCCCTATTCCGGTTGCTGCCCTGGCAGGGTGCATGTCAGGGACATTTACTGTTAGCCTCCTTCCTTTAAATGGCAGCATACCAAGCTTAAGTGCTTCTTATGATCTTGAACATGTTAACAGAGAGTTATAATATCACTCCTGGCAAATGGGCATGGCAGGGTCATCTGGTTTTGCTATGTCTTAGAAAAAAGGAGAGCCCACTGGCAGCACAAACCAGCCCCGGCCTCCACTCCTGGGAGCTGAAGCTCCACTATGAAATGGGAATGACAAGGATCAGGATAGCAAAATCTTCATCTATAGGGAAAGGTTTTACAGACAAATACGCGACAGTCATTTCCTAATCAGGTCTAACTTCTGAGTACACTGTCAGACACTTAAATCTGTTCTGTCCTTAGGTACAAGTTAATCAACCTCACAAATTCCTTTTGTAAACTGGGTGATTTCCTGAGCTAACACTTGGAAGCTATATTCATACTCTGGAGTCCAACACTGTATTTAGATAAGGAATAATTTAAGCAAAAGATCACCTTCAGAGGTCCCCTTGCTCTCTTCTCAAACCAGTCAGGTGGTTCTTGGAATTCATGAATTTTCTCCCATTGGAACATAAATCCACTACTACTTCTTTCATTTTCTCATTAAAAACGATCTTAATACCTTATACCATACGCTACAAAAATAGAAGGATACTGCCAAAACTATGACAGTACAAACAAGAATGCACACTATAGGATGCTTTCTTCGACTGTTATGCATTCCCTTCTTTATTCCCCTTCATTTATCATGTTTTGGTTTACTTTTTTTCAGATTTCTTTATTTGACATCTGGTTCCTGTTTCAGGCTCCCTTGCCTTTCATTTGGCTTGTGGTCTGCTTTGCTTTGTCCTCCCCCTCCCAACGGAGCACAACATGAACTCTCAGTTAACTTTCAAAACCCACACTGGACAGGGAACAACACAAGGATTTTATAGACCGTAAGGCCAAGAGGGAACACTATGATCATTTAACTTGACCTTCTCCATAACACAGTCCAAAGAACCCAATCCAATAATTTCTTCACGAAGCCTGTGACTTCAGTATGACCTGTATCATATCATATCTACAGCATGAGCTGTGTCATACAAGTCAGGACACTCGTAAAGAGCACAAGGAACACAGAGGCCACATTAGTTACTAACTTGCTCCACTGGCTAACTTAAAAATTTGCTCCATAGTCTATATGAAAATATAGAAAAATATATTTTCTACTCAAGCTTTCAATCATTCCACACCTTTCTTTGCACCGCCCGCCACCAGGTATTGCTATGAAACACAGACACATTGATGGGAGGGTGCTGCACGTACCATGAACGGCTGGCATTAGATAGAGGAGACACGCTATGCTCTCATGTAGCAACTTATTAGCGAGGTAGAAGTTAGGAAGACCTCCCTGAACATGGATACTAACTTCCACAGAGTTCTACAACAACAGCCACAGAGTTTGAAGGACTCTGCCTGTATGTTTGCATATGTTTGTATATAATGTATACATATATAAGCATTTGTTTACATATTATAATATAAATGATAATATCTGAACAGACAAAATCTGGATGGAATTTCCTTTAGAAAGGAACTCCTTAAAAAGTGTAAGAGTAGCAACAAATGGAAGGGCAGAAAAATCACCAAGTGCCCATGAGGCAAAGAAGCTCAGCTGAGATTAGTGGTTATTAAGGTTATAAAGCTAAAGCTTTTGTTCTTAACTATTTGCTCAGGTTTTAGTAATTCTCACTTGATTGCTCTTTCCATTCCCTATTAAAAGACTAAGTTTTGTGCAGTCAGGCTGAGATACACAGATCTTCACTTTTCCTCACACTACTTCTTTCATAACTTCCATCGAACAGATGCTTGTTAGAAACTGCCGCAGTAATTCTGTTTTTCTGCTCCATCTACTGGTTTCTAGCAGTATCACAGGAGAGAGCAGCTAGAGCTACCCGACTTAGACACCAACAACACAGCTCAGAGGATTTTTATCGGAGAAAAAAAATGAGGCACACTGCACAGGACAAGTCTAAGTTTCTGAGTGACTGGTTGTCTATGTGTTGTACCCGCTCATAAACAAGAGGATCGACTTTTGCTGCGTTTATGCACAACAGTCACAGAATCACAAAATGATTGAGTTTGGAAGGGACATCTGGGGGTCAAGATGCTTTGATACACTGGCGAAGAAAATTTAGAATTTATGATTTTTTTAAGTGTTCCTTCAGTAACTGAGAGCAAGTAGATGCAATTGCACTAAAAATTTGTTTGTGTAGCTTGCAGTCTCCTTCTCTCCACCCCCTTCATACAGTGTCTACTATTATGTATATAGAGATGCTGCTGGAAAAGGTCAGCTCCCAAGTCAAACAGTGCTATTTTCTTTCAGGATCTGCAATACAGAGAAGGGCAACATTTACAAGCCACGTGTAACTCCCTTTGAGCACGTGGAAATTACTGCTTCAATGAACTGTCCTACCGTAGTGACCTAGATAATTGTCATATTTACAAAAGGCCGGATGTGCCTTCTGAACAGACACATTTCCTCATTTCTAGGGAACAACAACAACAAGAAAAACCTAGACAGGCCCAGTATGTAACTTACTGCTGGCCAAAAGCTCCTTGGCTAAATGCACGTAGCTGTGCTGGCCCTCACTAAAGTTTCCCATTCAACTTCGTGATCTAGTCCCCCACAGTTGGGTTAATACAGTGAAAAAAATCCCTTAAGGGATTCTTAAATTCCTACATTTGATCTTAGTTCATCTACATGGTTCTCTTGCCTAGTTTTCACAGTTCATTTGCAGTTAGTTCTCATCACTGCGCATTCTGCCTGCCCTAGGTCCTCTCCTAGGCAATGATGGGTGGTGTTTCTTCATCCTGGTGAGCCATATCATCAGGCTCAGAGCTCTGAATATTGCAAAGGTGGAAATTCTTTTCATCTCTTACTGTACTGATTACTACCTATTAATACAGTAGATAAAGTCTAAACTAACAACACTCTCAGAAAACTTAAAGCTGCAACTAAGAAAAAGAAAAAAAAAAATGAGTGCTGAGTAACTCAGCTGGCATTTGAGTACACATTCCAGCAGACTCATGTAAATATTAAGCAGGCAGATTAACTCACTGGCATTCAGTCCTAATAGCACCACCTTCTGGTAAACACATGAAGAAATAAATTTAAATCTGCTACAAATAAACAGCCAAAAATATTTCTCAAAATCTACCAGGCCACTTTTTAGGCACTGCCCCTCCTAGTACAGCAGATCCCATTTTCATCCTGCTCTCCTCATCCCTTTCAGTTTCAAGGATGCCATTCCAGCACTTCACATTCAATCAAGCTCCAAGGCTGCAAGCCTTCCTGGCCTGTGTTTTGCCATCATGTGATATCTACAGCTCCAAACGTCTTGGCACAGTGGTGGGGTAAGAATGCAATTATTAGGAGCCCCAAGTAGAAACAGAACCTCTCCCACATTTGCCTTTCATAAACAAGACAGCTCACATAGTTTGATGGTATTTGGCAAGTCAAATGTACTCAGAAGGGTCAGGACTGCCTTTAAAAGAAGGCCTCCTGTTAACGGCTGTGACTTTCTCCAGCGGCTGCAGACCCTGAGAGCGTGTTCCCCGGAGGCTGGGAGAGAGCAGCCTGGTGCAACGAACAGGCAGCCCTCAGCGAGCGCCTGGACGTTATTGAAGAGGTAAGAGCTACTGCATTGCATTGCACTGCATTGCATTGACTCTCGGGCCAAACTAGAGCTCTGCCCCAAGCTTCTGACCAGAGCAAAGTGAGCAGCAGCGCGTTTCTAGCAGCTCCTCCTTCTTGATCCTGTAAGAAAAAAAAAAATAGGGAGTATTTTTGACATGCAGTGTTCTGTAGCCATCCAAGAAACCAATAGTAAAAATGCATCATCTGGACAGCTTCTGAACAACTGCTTGGCCAGTCACTGGGCTGTTACTCATTTGCTATTTCTAAAGTACTTTTAACAGCGCCTTTAATGAAATAATCTCAGAACTACTACCTGCAAAGTTAAGCAAAGCCCATAGACTTGCTATATTTGCCAAAAAAAGAAAAAAAAAAAAAAAAAAAAAAAAAAAA